CCAAAAAAAAACAACAAAAAAAAACTACCCTAAAAGAAAAGAAATCTTACCCTAATCACACTATAGACTCTAACTCTAAACTAATCACTGATTTATAATCACTAAAATTACAGAGAAGAGACCTAACCCTACCCGTAACCCTACCCCTATCCCTACCCTTTACCCTCAACAAGCACAATGGAGAAGAAACCCAACCCCTAACCCAACCCCTTAGCCCTACCCCTAACCCTACCCATAACAATGCGCAATGAATTACCACCGTAATTTTGTCATGACTAAGTGGGATGTAATCTTTGACTGCTAATAGACTAGAGTCAAGTGAATAATCGTAGTCGACTCCTAAAAATGCCAAATGATTATAGGGAGTCGGCTCCCAATACTCACTTCGATAAATTGTCGTGCTATCAAGAAGGGGTGAACAAGTCGTTGGCCACTTGGCACAGTGTCGGTCTCCCTCTCGTGAAAGTGAAAGGAATGAAAAACGCAGTGACTAGGCCTACATTTACTCACGGCGCACGTAGTTTGCAAGCTAGGCTCCGTTCACGACGCTCTGAATCGTCCTCACTGGCACACTGACACTAAACAAAGTGAATGAAGAAACAGCGCAGGAATAGGTTACTTGCGTGAAAAATAGGCCTCATGCAGCGGTGGTCCGAATGCGACAGAGTTCACAGAGGGTGAAGGTGAGCACAGCAAAACAGCTTCGGTCGATTGTCGACAGTACATGAAGCTGCAGCGAGCATTTAGCACATCTCTGTGATTGGCCGAAATGTAGATGACGTATTTCAGCCATCTATTTTTGGCGTCGCGCGGGGTTTCCCTCGCCACTTAACCAGATCTCGTGTGCAGGCTTCGTCTCTGAGCTACGACGCGAGGTTTAGTCCACTGTCCAGACGAAATAACCCGTCACTAATTGCAACAGAAATAATTCCGACACGAAGTGGTAGAAAAGGGTGTCTGTGGCTTTTCTGAGATATTGGTCATTTTCTAATGACCAATTTCTGTTCTAACCCTCCTGGGTTTCCATAAATAAAAAGATGTTTATTCATGCTGGTTTACATCCGGGCATTCCACATTACGGGAAGAGATGCACCTTTCCTATAAACCGTGACACCTTTTTCCTGTGTCACACTTAACCGTAAAAGTTTATTGACGTATTTTCGCAGAAGTTTAAAGCCAGATGTGTCATTTTGTGTAGTATGCAACTTAAATATCAGTAGAAATAAGCTACATTGAAAGAGTTGCTTTTGGTACCTCATGTACGTTTTAAAATCAACTAAAACACACAGACGCCTGTGCTAACGCACAGACGTGCGCGCTAAAGTACAGAAACCCGTTATGGTTGAAGAACAAAAGAGAGTTTCTATGGAATACTTATTTTAGTAGATCAATAGGTCCATGTGTTTAGATCTAGATTTATGTCTAATTTAAGTACACGTAGAAATGACTTGAGTCTAGATCTAGATATCTCAGTCGTTCATTCATACCAGCTTTCGGCATTGTTTGTATTGTTTGTATATGACTGCGCGCCTGCGTTGGTGTGTGTGTGTGTGTGTGTGTGTGTGTGTGTGTGTGTCTGTCTGTCTGTCTGTCTGTCTGTCTGTCTGTCTGTCTGTCTGTCTGTGAGTTCAGATAGGCCTACAGTCTGGAATAGATAAATGAATTCATTTGTTCCTCGCATTGTGTAGTCTCCATTTTAACCGGCACAATCTTTCTTGTGGTTCCCATGAAAAATAACACAACAAAACACGTATTATAGCATTTGACCAACTTTTGTGGTGGAAAACTTTGAAAATCATTGAAGGCGAGCCTGAAACCAGTGAACTCCCCTCCAGTTTGCTGCGTTTAGGATCCCTTCTTGTGGAAATGAGGTACCTCGCGTGTTTTGGGCATCTCACCAGAAGTCGAAGCTTCAAGTGAAATTACTCTCAACCAGATATTTTTCAAAACATCGATGCTGCAACACCTAATTCACCGGCATTGAATAAAGACTTGCAAGTTTTATTAACTTTATACAAACATGTATCTGTCTGTCTGTCTGTCTCTGTCCCGGTGTCTCTCTCTCTCTCTCTCTCTCTCTCTCTC